ACGAAACCATTTTACACATAATAGGGGAGAACAATACATAAATTGGGGGAATAACACAAGAAACTTAACAACACACTACCACACTGCCCCATTGTGCTTTCAGTTGTGATTACTGGAAGTGGTGCTCTCATCCTGAATCATCCACAACTGAGGCAGTTTCTCAGAGTGGACAGGCTGGAATAGTGCTGAGTGTTTTTCAGAAGGAAATTTTAAAAGCATTGGGACAGGCAGTGTGCAAACAGCTTGCTGCCAGCTGCCATGGTGAGGGTGTCTGCTTCTGTGTTTTTAATCTCCATGCCTGGCAACACTTAATCCCAGGGTTTTTCTGGGTTTTTTCAAAGTACATCACCACTTCTAAGTGGGGGGCAGTTCATATCACCTTGTTCAGTAGAGGGTGTCAGCTCCTAGGATTTGACGCTTTTTTATGGACAGGATCTCATGTAAAAGCTCTTCTCTGAGAATCACATCTTTCACAAAATAGCAAATGGGTTTAGTGGTGAGCTAATGAGAAGCTGACTCCCATGCATGATTGAATTTTATGAGTAAGCACTTCTCTTGTTCTTAGCAAAATCCAGTAGCAGCCTTCATGCAGAAATAAAGAAAATGTCTCCTAGCTGCTGTGCCCATTGATTCTTCTCTCTCTCAGTTAAGAGAGATGTAGACCAAAGCAGTGTTTTAGTGCTTGTAGATTTGATTTATCTCCATGAGACAACTGTGCTGTAACTGGAAGCAGTAGCTGCATGTAAATAAAAGGCAAGGCATCCCTGTCAGCAGAAGCCTGGTTAATTCTGGGTTGAATTAGTTTATTTATACTTCATTTAAGTTCAGACAGATTCTCACTGCCATCTGGTTCCCAGAGAACAGCTAGAATAAGCACAGTGAAGTCTGTGCTGAGATTTAATTTATCAGAATTTCGTGTGTTGCTAGGTCTGTTACCACACAATTTCATGCAGCGGGGAACTTGTCACACCAAAGTTGTTGGACAACAAAAACAAAAGCTAGTGATGTAAAACCTCACCCAGACAAAAGAGCAAGGTGTAGTTTGAACATAGCCACCTATTTATTGATTCTTTGCTGCTGAAAGGGGCAATGAGGATTCAGGGGAAAGTGGTAATGCCTGTATCCTCTGCTGGCTGGGACAGTCTGTGGTTCTCTGCTCATTCAGTAGGATTCAGGCCAAGTAATTTTTACTTTACAATGGATCTTTGTTCTTAGCATTGAGTCCCTGCTGCAACTTCTGTCCAGAGGAGACAACTTTGAGTCTCATAGTTTTGCTTTAATTCTGCTTTATTTGAGGTATGGCTATGTGTTTGTGTAGCTTGCTCTTCCTGATAGAAATGCTACCCCAATTCTGAGAGCTCTCTCTTGACAGCACTTGCTTACAGTGATACAGGACAAGGGAATGTTGCACAGTCTAAGACATAACTGCAAGGCCTTTAGGATTTGATTTTTCAACTTCACATCACAGATTTACATCAACCTGTGAGCTGGTGAAGGCTCTGTGGCAGGCATGCACATTATCCTGCCATCTCCCTGTAGAACTAGTATTCTATTTAATTTCTCCTTGAAGAGGTATTGGTAATATTCTCTTTTAGCTTAAAATGGATCTCTGGAGTCTGGGGAATAACCTTTTAGTCTGCTGACTTTAAAAATTGTAATACATCATCTCATTTTGGAGTTTTTAACTAGGAGACCGTACACCTGATTAAACTGGTTTATGATATATGCTGCAAAACATCAGTGCAGCTTTAATACTGTTGTGTATGAGTGCTTGCCATGCATATCCTGTAGTTAAATTTGCCTTGGAAATGGCTCACCTGTGTAGCTGGTTAGGATTTTTCCCTACTGACAGGTCTAGTTTCTGTCTGTGTAGCTCTATGAATACCAAAGATGTGCTGCTCTTCAGTCCTTGTCCTCCAAGGTCTAATGCTCTGGAGCAAATCTATTTTATGTGAAGCTTGTTTACTTTCTCTTTTATTGCTGGCCTGATTTCCTCTGACTAAATAACTGCAAAAGTATATATCAGAATTAGAATCTGAGCCCCAAATCACAGCTACATCTGAGGCCTGTAATATTGTCTGAGTATCTGCAGCTTTCTAATTACAGACTCTGAACCTCGTAAATAGGGAGGTTAAAAAACAAGGTTGAACCTGGTGTATGATCTTGCATATTAAATGTGTGGGGTTTAATCTCTGGATGATGAAAGATTGAGTTGTCTGTTCAGAAGTGATATGGGGATAAACACGGGTGACACAAGTGAGGGAGCATTTTAAATTGCTTTTCTGTTCCTTTTGATTCTTCTGACACTTAGTGCTAGATCTTAATTTGTTTATATTGAAATTCCTCAGTTTTGTTAGCACTTATTTTGTCTGAGCTATATTTGAGTTTTGTTTTCAGAAGCAAATTACTTTGTAGCTCAGTGGTGTAAAATGTATTTTATAATCACAGGATCAGTATCTTGAATCACTGTTCTTAGAAAATGCTCTCTTTGGAGCTGGTTGATCATTTTTTGTGGTTATGGAGAACAATATCATTTGTTTGCCTGTTGTTAAAGGACAGACTTACAGTTCAAGAGTTGTGTGATTGAGAATATGGTATTTTTAATGCAAAATTGGTTGTACTCAATACTGGGAAAGTGCTAGTAGAAAAGTAGAAGATTTCTTGTCTCTGTGATGGCTCTTGGGGCAGGAGAAGCCTTCTGGTATCTTGGGGACCCACAGGAGCCTTGGTGCTACCGGGGGGTTGGCACTGGTCTGTCACTGCTGTGGGTGCCAAGGCAAGGGCAGGAGCAGTTTGTACACTCGCTTCATATCAAGAGAGAAACATTTTGATAAGATCTTGGATGTCTCATAAATGCAGAGCTGCTTTTTAAAGTAGGGTTTTGTGACTGCCTAAATTGTAGTGTGGTATGAACGTTGCTTTCAGCCAGCTGTGGTTATGTGCACACACTGTGATAAACTGAATTCTGTTTGCTCTCTTTGCAGGCTGCGGACTTGAGTAAACCAATAGACAAAAGGATATACAAAGGAACACAGCCTACATGCCACGACTTCAATCACTTAACAGCCACAGCAGAAAGTGTGTCTCTTCTAGTGGGCTTCTCTGCAGGCCAGGTCCAACTTATAGACCCTATTAAAAAAGAAACTAGCAAATTATTTAATGAGGAAGTAAGTAGAAATCTTAATATTGTTGCATGCAATGTATTTGTGATATTGAAGTTTCTAGATTTTCAAAGTTCTGTAGATGTGGCTCCATTTGCCTGTGTAGCTTATTGTTCAGTCACTGCCTTTGTTTTTCAGCTGTTCCATTGGCTTGGAGTACTTACATAAAAATGTTATTCATTGTGAAAAGATAAAGGCATCTTGTGGGGTTTAGAATTAAAAATTAGCATTTTCTAGTTTGGGTAATACTGTAACTAGCATTGAGGACAGTTTACAGATGGAAATAAGGTCTACAAATGTAAATGTTACTGTGTCTGCTCTGAATTCAGTTGTTTCTGAGGCTTCTGATTGCCAATGAAAAAGAAAATTTTAAGCCACTATTTAACTCACATTTTATAGTCAAAATATTAAATAAGTTAAAAATATACATTTGTATGGTTGGGGCATTACAGCAGAAGCTGCCTATATTCCTAAAGGCCTGCTTGGATAAGAGTAGGCTGTAAAGCTGAGTGCCCAGAAATGCTGAGGGTTTATGATGTCTTGGCCATGTGATGTTCAGAAGGAAACTCTCCATCTGCTTTTTCTGTTGCTGCAATAAGGAAAGATAGGAGGAGTACTGTGGGGAGCACTAATGCCAAGAACCACTGCCTCTGGGTATCTGATAGCATTGACATTCTTACAGGAATAAGTGTCCAGATGCTAATAAGGAAAGAAACCTGGTAACTGGGATGACTTGTGACAGCATTTTCTGCAGAGGGATAAGCTCTGGGAATTTGGGTGGTTTGGGGGAGGTGACTTTCTTTTGGGGATTGTTCTTCTGCTCCTTTTTTGTTTTAATTCAGTTCTGTAGAGAGGTTTGCAGGTCTCTTGGTTGGTTTTGTTTCTTTGCTCTTCTTTTCTTTTTTGAAATTTCACATCTGGATTCAAACTTTACATACAGATGAAGTTTAGCCTTGCTCAGCTTTCAAAGTTTACCTTTCCTCAGAGAGATGTGTTGCCTTCCTCCTTCCTTGTGCAAAGAAGATTGAAGTATTGCTCTCACTGGGGATGTTTTATAATTAGATCTAATTCCTCCTCAGCTTTCTAAAAGTAGCAACATGTAGATCAGAAAAGGGGCGTTTTTCTTCCTACCTGGCCTTGTCCCAGCTGCTTTGCCTCTGCTTGTGTTGAGTGGGAAACAGTGCTGGAGAATCTTTTAATCAGTCTTTTGTCTGTTGGTAAAAACCTCTGTATAAGTAGTTGAATTGTTAATTTTAGCATTGTCCTACCACCCCCACCCACCCCTCCAAAAGTGTCTTATTTATTCTTGGAGGATAATATTGTAAGTATTAAGAAGGGTAGCAGACATACTCTAAACAGCTGGTTGCATATCACAGAGTAGTTCCCACTCCTGTAGCTGAGCTGAGTTCCTTTGAAAAAAACTTCTGCTGGAATAGTTCTGTCAATGCCCAGTGCACCTTTCCAGGCCTTGATGGTGTCTGGTGCCTCCAGTGCAGAGCTGTGCTGCAGCCTGAACAGCTCCTGTGGTATTCCCCACATGCTGGAAGCACTGCAGCCACTTCCAGCAGCCAGGATTGCTTTTTGTCTGTGCTTTTGTCACATTACTTCAGTGGGATGGAAATGTGGCCTTTGACAGTTTGGTGGAAATTTAAATGAGGTGATCTCTCTTCTACCAAGCTAATGTAAGGATTTGCTCAGTGCTACCAAAACTGCACGCAGTAGGCTACAATAAATGACAAATTCTTGTTTCCTACGCTGACCTTATCTACAGTTACAGCCAAATCTAAAACTGAAATATGTTTTTATTCTGTTGATTACAGTATTGAAGTTTGCCCTAGATGTGTTTGTAAGTTCTGACTTGTATTTGAAGCCCCTTTCAGAGAAACATTAGTGAGCACTGATGTTTGAACCAGTTCCTTTGCTTCACGATGAAGGTGCCTTTTGGATTTGGAATATATTTTGAGTTTAGACAGTCTTTAGGAATAACTGTAGGCATAAGGTGGTCTAAATGAATGTGAATGTTGTTCTACAGATCCAGCACTCATGCTGGAGGTAACAGAATTCACCACCTCTCCTGTGAGTTATTGGTGCTTCAGGGAGCCCAGAGCTCTGCTTTGCCTATCAGCTGTGGTAGAGCAATCAGAATAGCAATCAGAATGTATATGATACATGAAATAAATCAACCTGTTATGATAGGTTATGTTGAACATAAAATACAATAGCCCTAGCATTGTCTTAACCTGTTACTATTTTTAAAAAATTCTGTTGATATAAAGGATGATAGGGACTTGAAAAGCTGAGGTGAGCGATAGATAGTGTGCAGCTTGTGGGTGCCTACATAAATCCATCTGTAGCCACAGTGGTATTCCTTCCAGCTGTGTCAGAATTAAAGCTGTGGTATTTTCTTACTGCCCAAACCAGTCAAATACACCTCACAGATTCAGTTTTCCAGGCAGTGATTTGTTATTATCAAATTAGCCAGTGCTTTTTCATCTTATTTTTTAATCCTTTTTTAATTTAAACCAAAGCCTTGAGCTACATTTTTTTTCCTAATAAACTCGTCCTGTATCTTTGTTGCCAAAGCTGTGTAAGGCCTTAATGCAGATTTCTTTGACTGCCTCAGATTTTTCAGTCATTTGTGGCCTGTGTCTGTAATTTTGTCCCTTCAAGTTCTTCAATACATGACCAAGATAATCTTGGCAAGTGTTTCTGCCTGGTGAGTGAAGCTTCTTCGCTTCCTGTTCCTCCATCAGACTGAACATAACTCAACTCTTTATGTCACATCCCCCACTGATGTGCTGATCCTGCACTCAGACCATTCTTATAATGCATCTGCTGCTCCTACTGACTGCAGGTCTGGCTTTGTTGTGCTGCAGAACTTTGTGAACCCAACTGAAAGCTTTTAAAACTCCTGAAAGTCAGAACTTCAGAGTTTGTATCTTGAGAAGGGGATGCATTCTGGTTGCTTGTACATGTCAGATTGGAGTCCCTCTGCATCTTGTCTTCCTGAGCTGATCTGTTCTCATTGCAAATTGTAATCTGTTTTTCACAGCCTCCTTGAAGTAAAGATCATGTTTGCAGAGTTTCTCTGCAGTATTAAGGATCACGTAGGCCAACATGGTTATGGACATAGAATGCCATTTCTGATACCAAAGTTGAGCAGGTGCTCTTACAAATAAAGGTTGTATGTCAGATTGAGCTGCTTTAGAAGAGAGCAAGAAATTTTGCTTTTGTTGCCATACTGGCAATGAGAAGATTGGTGTCTACAGGAAACCAGCTGGGCTGGTGTTCCCTGCCCATGTTCTCCTACTGTGTGCCAGGTAACTTTCTCCCTAATGTTTCTGATGCCATCATTATTGAGACATGCATGAATATATACAAGTGAATATATGACAAACTAGTTAAAATATTACAACAGAATCAGAGACTCTATTATTTTAAAGCTACTCCATTTGAAGGAACAGTGCCATGTTTAGTAACATCTCTCAGCTCTCAAATGTCCCATGGCTGTTTTAACCAAAGAGAAATTACAGGAGAGAGACTTTCTGGCTTTGTACTGAGGTTGAGAGCAGCAGAAGTGTGATCTAAAATGGCCAGGTGCTGCTTTCCAGTGACAGTTCCACAACAGATAACAGTTGATGTATTATCCATTAGTTTGATGTTTTTGTGTGTGATAAACAGCATAGCAAGGTTTGAGGGGGGAGAATTCTTCTTTCTGTTTTCTTTTTAGGGCTTTTGCAACTTGTTCTGGTATTCCTTAGGCTCTTTATATTTGCATTCTTGCCTTTTGTGTAGCTCAGCTCTTCTTTTTGCTTTCAATCAATATGCCAAATACAAATCTTGAATGTGCTTGTAAAGAATTACTTGTCTGCAAGTTACAGCTGAGTGGTGCCATGGACAAGTGGTAAGTTGTGGAAGTCCACCAGAGCTACAGAAGTCAGAGGAGTCAAACTTCACCTCTCAGTTCTTAGGGGATTGAAGACATTATTACCAGGAGTGTTTGTTTAATGTGTGTGCATTCTTTTGCAACAATGAACTCTATTAAAACATTGTTTTAAAGGAAAGTGCTTCATTAAATGGTAACAGAGCATTGACAGGTGCTTGGCTATTGAAAGAAAAATAATTGGAGGTTGGGGATTCCAAGGTGAAAAGTTGGTGATGTCTTGTGAGTTCACACAGCCCGTGCATTTACCTACTGACTTCCATGGTAACAGGGTCACTGTGTGCGCAGCTGCAGCCTTTGCTCCCTGAATCAGTAAAAGCTGGTAGATTTTTTTTTAAAGGTTGGATTTTATTTGTGATTTCAGATAAAATCAGAGCCTAAATTTACTGTTGTTGATTTGTAACCTGTTTGCTTATAATCCAGATGAGTAACTGCCTTTTTTCCCCTTTAGTTTATTCAGTGTTTTCTTGTTTCCTTCTCATGCTCTTCAGCCTGCACAGGGAAAAGTAAACCAAAGAGCACTGCCTTTAGATTCCTAACAGATTGGCTTGAGTGAAGTACGGTCTTTGTGGCACATGACTGGACCATAATAATAACCTTTGAAAGTACTTTGTCTGAAAATAATTTCCCCTTTGCTGCCTGATAAGTGTTAGCAAATACAGTAACCAACATAGTTCCTGTCTAGAAAGTTAAGTTCACTTTATTAAAGTATTGCTCCTCATCCCCCAGAAAGCTCAGATTTACAGTTAATCATGGAAACTTTAATTTTCAGAGTTTCTGATGTGTATCTTCTTTGTTTTTCACAGAGACTAATAGACAAGTCCCGAGTAACCTGTGTAAAATGGGTACCAGGTTCGGAAAGCCTTTTCCTAGTAGCTCATTCCAGTGGCAATATGTACTTGTATAACGTGGAGCACACTTGTGGTACCACAGCCCCGCACTACCAGCTACTTAAACAAGGAGAGAGTTTTGCAGTGCACACTTGCAAGAGTAAATCCACAAGAAACCCTCTGCTTAAATGGACAGTAGGTGAGGGTGCCCTGAACGAATTTGCCTTTTCCCCTGACGGGAAGTTCTTGGCGTGCGTGAGCCAGGATGGTTTTCTTCGCGTGTTTAACTTTGACTCGGTGGAATTGCATGGTACAATGAAAAGCTACTTTGGAGGACTGCTGTGTGTGTGTTGGAGCCCCGATGGGAAGTACATAGTGACAGGAGGAGAGGATGACTTGGTGACAGTTTGGTCTTTCGTGGACTGTCGAGTCATAGCGCGAGGCCACGGACACAAATCGTGGGTCAGCGTGGTGGCCTTTGATCCGTACACCACCAGTGTAGAAGAGAGCGACCCCATGGAATTTAGCGGAAGCGATGAGGATTTCCAAGACCTTCATTTTGGCAGAGATCGAGCAAATAGCACACAGTCCAGACTGTCCAAAAGGAACTCTACAGACAGTCGTCCAGTAAGTGTTACGTATAGGTTTGGTTCGGTAGGCCAGGACACGCAGCTGTGTTTGTGGGATCTTACAGAAGATATCCTCTTCCCCCACCAACCTCTGTCAAGAGCAAGGACACATACAAATGTCATGAATGCCACAAGTCCACCTGCGGGAAGCGGTGGAACTAACCCAGGAAGTAATGGAAACAGTATCACAACACCTGGAAACTCTGTACCCCCTCCTCTTCCGCGGTCAAACAGCCTTCCACACTCTGCAGTCTCAAACGCTGGCAGTAAAAGCAGTGTCATGGATGGTGCCATTGCTTCTGGCGTTAGTAAATTTGCAACCTTATCGCTACACGATCGGAAGGAAAGACACCATGAAAAAGATCACAAGAGAAACCATAGCATGGGACATATATCTAGCAAGAGCAGTGACAAACTGAACCTAGTTACTAAAACCAAAACGGACCCAGCTAAAACTTTGGGAACACCTCTCTGTCCCCGAATGGAAGATGTTCCCTTGTTAGAGCCTCTTATCTGTAAAAAGATAGCACATGAAAGACTGACTGTGTTAATTTTTCTTGAAGACTGTATAGTCACTGCTTGTCAGGAGGGATTTATTTGCACATGGGCAAGGCCTGGTAAAGTGGTAAGTTTTAATCCTTAATGCTGCATCAAAGAGCTAGAACTCTGAATAGATAGTTTTCTTGAAATATAATGAATGTTGAATATAAAATTTCTTTATGCTTAATGTAAAAAATTATCCTCAGAGCCATACTTTTGGATACTGCATGCCATATTTCTGAATGATTTGAAGTGTCTTGGATACAATTATTAAATATAGTTGCCTTCCAGCAGAAGAAATAAATACTGTGCATCTAAACTATTGATCAGTGTTCTTATACTTAAGCATAACCACAATATGGTGAAAGCTATTTATGTAAAAATTGAAGTAAAACCTGTCAAACACTAAAATAATCATAATCCTTCTAATGTTTTCTAAAAAATAAGCACTCCCAATGAGAGTAGCTTATGAAAAGCTGCTGCTTCTAAGTCTAATGAGAAACGTGAGCCTCTGAAAAAGTGAAAACCAAAGTGTTTTATTCCTCCATTCTTTTCTGTGGTGGCCTGCCATTAATGTGAAACCACTTCTTATTAAAACATCAGCCATTTTATGCACAGATTTGTGAGCCCTGTACTGACTGTAGTTTATGCTCTTAAATTGTGAATCAGTATTAACAAGGAACTCTAATTATAGCCAGGTTTTGATTTATGTATTTAAGTTAGGGAAAATCCTGCAAGCTTTCTCTCAGTAGTTTCAGTGTTCTGTTCCTGTCAGGTTTGTTAAGGCAGTTCAACCACTACAAGCTCGTGTTTTTGATGGCACCAGTTCCATCAGCTGAACCTACATTAGTCTATTACTAGTTTTCACTCTTGTTGTTGATGCACTTGAACACCTATAATAATTTATTTTTCTTCTGTCCAATGTATAGATAGCTAAATTTTGACTGAAGCTAAATGTGGTGATTCTTACATTAAAAAGTACTTTGTGCTACAATAGCTCTGCTTGCCAGCAACAGTTCAAAGGAATACAGCTATGAAAACATTTCCAGAGTTGATCTGAGAAAAAGGACCATTATTTTTGTGAAAGTTTCTGAAAGGGGATGTAGACTATCACCTGAAGTGAGAGAAATGATCTGGTAATACCTGAATAATGCCATGTTGAGCAACTTAAATGAAAAGCTGTTGTTTGTTAGATTTTAACCATTTGGTTCATAAATCTGACTTTTGAAGTAGAGGTTCTGTATATATTTAGATACCACATCTTCATTACTATAAACTTGCAAGTAACACTCAATTATTTTTCTTAAAATTGTTTGTATAATGTAGGCTTTTTTGAGATCCTATCAAATTTCTCTCAGCATACGTGTGCGTAAAAATCTGTGTCTGCTCTGCATCTTAATGCATATTTAAAGGTTGAATCTAAAACTTAAAATTGAAAACCCCTTTATGGGAGAAGGGAGGAGGGTGTTACCTGAAAGTATTTTTTTGCCTGAGAACTACAAATCCAGCATTAATTAAAAAAAAAAAAGCCAACACTCCCATAAAACACTAAACTATTTAAAATGTTTGCTCAAAATGAAAGTATTAAAGCAATTATACTTTTGTGACTCAGTGCACTTCACATCTTATTAAATACAGCAGTGCCTCAGATTGCTATTGTGAGCTACATTTTCTTTTTTTCTAAAACTCCTTTGGATACTATTAAACACTACATTGTCACATTTATTTTTCAGTGGCTGAGGTGGGTTTTGTTAGACTGAGTATAACTTAAATATTTTTGTGTATTGACTTTGATTTGGAATATGACATTTCAAATATTTCAGAGATAAAGTATGCAGTACCAAAAATCAGGATTTATGTATTGGCCAATATGGAAAACTTTAACTACAGGTAAGTAATTTTCATGCTGAAGTTATCACTTTCAAAATTAATATATTGCACACTGATGTAAATGCCATATTCTTTAGGATGTATTTACTTAGAAATTTACAAATTATTTTGTTTTTTTGATTTCACTTGCATTTCTAGTGAGCTCACTCTGCTGGTAAAAACTAAATTTTGGTGGCATGTTTACAGGGCTTTGTTAGGAAAATACTTGTGCCAGAAGGACGTTATGAGCATCCTTTTTGTTTATAGGAAAGCACTTAATTTTATTTAATGAGAATTGTCAAAGTATAAAACACTCATGGTGATGTCTTTCTTACTGGGTTATATACCATCATTTCTGTTTCACCAGCTGTTTTATCCTAGCATGTCCCATTACTCTGGGGTTTAAAGTTGCTATTTCTAGTCTTCCTTTGACATATGGCTCCCCAAGTGATCTTAAAGCTCTGTCACTTTTTTGTCTGCCAACTCTATAGAGTAAAAGCCTCTGAATCTTGCTGCTGCTTCCATCATTGCCTCAGAAGGCCTTCATTAAATTGGTGCCACTGCCAGCCTGAAGAAAGAATTGGATGGAAAAGCAAAGGAGGCTTGCAGTGTCTAATGTAATTGCCATTGAGCAGTGCTACCTCTCCCTCTCATTTCCAACAGCCATCAAAACATGTGCTGGATAATTTGACAGTGTATGACAAATTCTGTTTATTTTTCTGGTTGGGCTTGTGCTGCCCTGAGTGGAAAATAAATCCAGAAGTGTCTGTTCAGCCATGATCCCTGTGATAGTTGATAGTCTGTGCATTGCTGACGTTGTCCTGACAGTTTGTTTATAAACTTTCCAAATTACTGCTTCAGTGTGTACAGAATCATACCTTGAGCTTCCTCACGGGATGTGCTGTTCTTGCATTGCACTTCCAGAACTGCTCTGCCAACTCCCAGTCAGTGAAGTGAAGTGAATGGCAAAATTCAATTAGAAACAAGTTGGATGAAGTTCAGGGTTCATTAGTTTCAATTTTTTATTCTTTTTTTTTTTTTTTGTGAGCTGATTTCTGTGAAAGGTTCAGGGCGGTCAGAAAAATAGGTTGCCTTAACAAGAGTGTGAGCTCTTCTCCTCAACATGGTGACAATTAGCTGTCATCTCTCACCCCTGTCTTTGCCAGGCCCTGATGGGAAACCTAAACAGGGTTACAGAACTGTTGGATTAATCTAGAAATATAGAAACAGAATTTGGAAGGAATAAAAGTAAACTTTATTGTGCTATCTTTATAGCTACGTCAATCTGAATTACAGGATCTGCGGAAGCAATTAAAAAACTCCAACAAAAGCAACCCACAAAACCCCAAAGTGGTACTTGGATATGCAAAATAAGTTTTCTCTGAACTCAGTGGTCAGAGTAACTGCTCACATGATTTCTGTGTTGGGCTTCAGAACTGACTGTTCACTGTCTGTGCAGTGACTCCATTTTCTGGGAGTGAAAGTTGCTGGGGAGTTCCTGTGTCAGAAAGCTCAAGGTAAGATTGGCCAGAAGCACCCCCGGGTGAAATGGCAGTGTATAACCTAGCAAGAGAAACATCCTACCACTTTGTAAAACAAATGCACATGGAATTTATTTATTTGACTTATTGTACAGGAAAACTTAGACTTAAATTATAACATCCTTGAATTTTCTAGTTAACTACAATTGTAGTACAGTATCATGTTTTAGTATGGCTTCTGTTTTAGTGAAAGTACTTAAACATTCATGTACTATATTTGAGTGAGACAAGCAGCTATACATACTAATTCTTCCTCAGTGGAAAGGAGCATTTCATCATTACAATTGAAGTTCAATTGCTGGTATTTAAGTACTATCAAATAGATTTCTTTCAACGTGATACGGTATCTGTATAAACTTCAGGGATGATTATAGTTAAACTGAAACACAGCTATACAACTTCAGGTTACCATGCTAAAATTGGAAGCTTTCTGTAATGTGCACAGTAGCAAAGTTGCACATGGCATACCCACATTATCAGGGTGAATTAAACCTAGAGTACACTGGTGTGATATTTATAGCAAGGTGTGTGTGTGTGCGTGTGTGAGGAGGTGTGACAAGGGGAGACCATAACCCTGGAAAGGCATTATGATGAGCATGTCTGGATTAGGAAATAACATGACTTTTACTAAACACTTTCTAGAAAACCCATGTTCTGAATTATCACCTCTTAAAATTTGAGTATGTACTTGGAATGACTGTATATGTCGGCCCCTTTAACAACATAAAACTACTAAATTAATATTTAAATTGCTGGCCTGCTTATGTTACAATAATAAAATTTGTGTCAGTTAATTTACTGTCAATTTACATGTAAAGATTAAACTATTTTTTCTGCATTTTATGATTCTGTATACTGGAGTTTGTTAAAGATTGACATGTTAGGTGATACTGTACAAAATTGTATTGACTACCTTTAGTGAAAATCAAAAGTAAAATTCATATGTATTTCCTTTTTACACTTCCATCTAATTTCTTGACAACTTGAATAAATTTCATAGAGCCTTTCTAACATGAACTATTGTTAATTTAACTGTTGCAATAATTAAGCTTTAAGAAGTATTGTTGGTATATTTATAATTTTAAGAAGATCATGTTTGTTTCATACTGCTTATTTTTAGCTGTTCTATTGTCACTGTTACAGCTGAAGAACTTTACTAAATACTTGACATTACAAAATAACTTGCTGGGGTTGTCCTCTGTATACTGATGTTAAATAAAAATGTGTGATTGAACTGTAAATGTAGATAACTTTCAATAGTCCTTTCCACATTTGAGTTTTAATTTATCTTGCAGTGCTTAGGTGGTCTTATGCTCTCACACTGTGCTGAACAAATGGCCACAATGAAACTGTTAACTTGCCATGCTTTAAAGTAAGAAGTTGATCACATCTGTAACCTGCTCTGAGAGAAAGTTTCATCTCAAGACTATGCAGATGTTTTGATGTTTAAAGCTTGCTGATAAGGTCATGACTCAAGGTAGCTATTTTTTTTAAGGACTAGAGTACCATGAAACAGAATACTTACCAAACCACTTTTCAAACTTGTTTAAACTCAGATTCAGCAGAACACAGACATGGCTGTCTCTAGATTCTCTCTGCACCCCTGTCCGGCAGGAGCTGGGGCAGAGTGTCGTCATTCCTTCTAGGACTCTACAGGAGCTCTTTCCTCTGTGGACTCTGGTGCAGGGTATGTTCTTTATTCCAGCTTTAGATCTTGGTGTTTGCCTAATGATTGCTGAATTTACAGCCCTGAGGATATGGCTCATACAGGTGATTCAAGCATTTTCTGTCTAGGAGAAAATAGTCTAGAATGAAAATCATCTGAACTAAAATAAACGAGACTAAAACTTTGCAAAATTTCTTGGAGCAAATTTAGGTGAAGACTTCAGATGTTGCCCTTCCTTTTGAGGGGTTAGGCATTGTCTCACCTTTGCAGCAGTGATTCTTTGTTAACAAAGAAAAGCCAAACAAATGCTATTTACTGAAGTGTTTCAGAGGCATTTTTGAGGAATTTCAGTGTAAAAGTGAGTTACTTTGGGTCCAGTCTGACAGGGAGGACTCGTTTGTCTCTTATGTAGAAATACTCTGTAGACTAAAGCTGAGGCAATCATCTTATGGAAACTTGAGAACTTTGTGGTACTTCCAAGGTATTGACTGACCCTTGTGATGTTCTATACATAGAACATTGATGCATATTTAAGAACAGGGGCTAATGAAACAAAAAATGAAATCTGCTTGAATGCTTCTGGAACATCCATTTATATCAAATGATGCAAGAACTGGTTGGTCAAACCAGTTTCCCAATAGTCAGTGTAAGCCTGAGACAAAACCTAGCTTCCACAGGTTTTCTGGGCAGAGAAGGTATTTGGCAAAATATGTCTTGAAACATGAAGGTGTCATTTTATTTGCCTTTAATAATGTTGCACAAGCTTCTCAAGGAAATAACTTTTAAGACAATGTTATTTTCTGGCTTTTGAAGCTGGATTTTAGGCAGGTGCTGCTCAACCTTATCAAACTCATTTGGCTCCTTTCTTCTAAGACCACAGTCACGTTATGGCTAACTCATGTGGGGTTGCCTTAAGTTATATCCTTTTCCTTGACGTTTTCCCTGGTTTATCTCAATTTCATTATTTTCTAAACTGAAAATTTTACACCTTACTGACTTTTGTAGTTCAAGAAAAGTAGAGAAACAAGAGTTTATAAGCCTGTGAGCCCTTAGTACTTGAATGCAGCTTAAGGTCCTATTTTTTGAGCCCAAGCCAGGTTTCTGCTGGCAAAAGCCTTTTTGCATTTTCAAGCACCCAAGTAGTTGCATCTTAGTTTTTTTTTCCTCTTGGACCTGCATATCTTCCATTCACCTAATGCCACTGGACAGATTTTTAGTTACTGATGGTTTTCTACCAGCCTTGAATTTGAATTTTTTTTTGTTGACAGTGACCTCTGTTAAGAGAAACTCCTTTATATACACAGAAGAGAAGTTGCAAGTGAAACCCTAAAGGTGCTACAGTCTTTTATAAGGTCTGGTGTCAAATGGTTTATGTATTTATACTTTTGTGTAATGTTAACAGAACAGAGAAAAAAAGGCAAATGGAATACAAATTTAAAAGCCCATTTAGTGAACCCAAAAACTGTGCAAAGACAGGCAACAGCTTTGTTCTATCCCCTAAATCCCATACAGAATATTTCTCTGCAGCATGTTATGTGAATGAACAGCCTGTGCTTTCCTGAGCATTTTTATTAAATTAATTTTATTGCTCCGTTAGAGATTAATATGTGATTTAGTGAGTATATGCAGTTCAGAAACTTTTGCTGTTAAACACTTATTCTTTGGATAAAGAACTTGATGATTTTGTTCATGCAAGTCTTAAAACCAGTGCAGCTAATTTACCTACAGAATTTTAAACAAATGTGAGAAACCTCACTTTGGTTTTTGTGTCTCAGTGCTCAAACACTGTAATGGGCCATGGGCTCTTTTCTCAAGCAAAGCTTCTGTCCAGAATACTTTGTAACTCTAGTTATGTAGTAACCCTAATTACTCAAAGAATATCACCATTCTGGCCAAAAAATAAACTACTCCTGGAGTATTTTTCAAATAATAACTTCCCATTATTTTACATACTGGCAATAGTAGAAATGGTTTACCAAACCAGTACCATTCTTGTATGGGCGTTTGTTAATTCAGCCGTATTTTAATTGGTTTAATTGCATTAGTGAAGTGTACTATGAGACTTTGTTTTTTTTTACATTGGATTGCTTGTTATGTTGTACCCTTTATTTTTTCTACCTTTCAATTTCAAACCAGAAAGTAGAAAGGTGAGCAGAGTTTGACATTCAGCATGTTCTGAGTGCCAGCAGAGCTGTTTCCCTGAAGGAGACATGCACTTCCTGGATCCTGCTTGCATGTCCAAACTTGCTGTTTGTTATCTAGATTAGTGAAACTGTGTATGATTGCACCTTTGGCTCCAATTAAACAGCTTCTAATTTAAATTACGAAAATATTAACTCAGTGGCTACTGTTTACTATTTTCCTATTTAATATTGCAATATCTTCCTGTTTTGGTTTTTTTTTTTTTTTAAACACAGCAATTACATGCTGATCTTTCATGGAATTATTTTCTCTTGTGAAACATTATGTTTCATGTCTTTGGAAAAAAGCCCCAGACTTTTGTCTGGATTGTATGTGGAATTTTTAAAAATATACCCACCCGTCTCCTCACAATCCCATAAAGGGGGAGGAGGGTTTGTGTTTGTGCTGCTGCAGTGAACAGACCCCAGCAGGTGAGCGCACAAACCTTGGGTGCAAATGGCTTTCCTGGTTGTACTTGTTATGGCTTTTCATTCCTACCCATGCCAGCGTGTTTTTACCAGATGTGCAAAGTCCTGTGTGTTTCAGGAAGTCAGAGAATGCATGGATAAACAGGATAGCCCTAGCAGCCAGAGCTGAAGCAGCCTGTGCTCAATACTCACAGCAGTGACTGACCTAGGAAAAATGACCCCATCCTCTGAGAGCTGCATTGCTCAGCTGTGGAGTGTCCCATTGAGATGACAGCAGCTACCTCTGAGGGTGGGATGAATATTGTTTTACTAAATTCCTGTCTTGGAGCTCATAACTCTTCCATTTCCCACGCCTGCTAGACTCATATGCTGACAAAATACTACTGCTAATAAAACACTACATTTATTTACAAAACTTTGAGCAGTGTCTTAATTTGTTCCTGCTGCTTGCTCAGTGGGATCTGTTTGTCCTTAAGCCTGAAGCTGCTGCACCACACAGCAGAGCTGCAGCTGTGGCTCTGCTCTTCCATGTTTCCTGGCACAGCTGTTAAACAGGCTCACTTGGCTGTTGCTCTAATAAGTTGCTGCAGCTTTTGTTTCATCTTTTCCCACCTGATAGACTGGGTGGTTCCATCACAGAAAGCACTACACTCTAATGGCTTTCTTCTTTCTTTACAGCCAGGAGCTTTTTATATTTTTTCATTACCTTACCCATTGTATTCTTCCAGAGAATGTAACTGCAACTGTTCCAATCCCACACCCTTTGTATCACAGATGAGATTAACTGAGAACTTTTGTATCAAAATAGTAACTTTATTTGAGCCCTCACTTGCTTTTCTTAGGTTGTTTTCCTCCATGTACTGTTACACTGCACACAACCTTGTGAATAGCCTTGCTTGGAGGCTCTGATCCAATGGCAAAATGCTGCAGAATTTTTGTTTTAATCTGGACCCACTGAGAACTCACCACCTTGGTGAAACTTATGTGCCTAAAAACCAAATTCATACTCTTTGCTTTTCTTGTATGAACATTTAAGATTCTTCTGAAATCAAGTACTTGGAAGAACTCTCACAAACTTTCTGGTCTCTCCCCTGGGAGTGAGTTTCTGAACAGCATCATAGCCTAGTCCAAGTTTTAAGGTAGTACTTGCATACATTTGTTCCATCTGCAGAAGCACAAGGAATATTGGTCTTGAAGTTATTTCCACTTTGGTGTTCCTCTGGCTTGCCTGCTCAGAGCTGCAGAATTAATTCAGAGCAAGGACTGAAATACAAGGAATTCCTGGTACTCACTGAAAGCCATCTGCACTGAGCTGCTGCTCTTCAAAGCAGGGAGCATTCACCACCTATGAGGTGTAACCAGGACTGACTCCTTGTTCCTAGTCTTGGAACTTGCATTCTGGAGTGGCTGGTAGCTCACAGGGAATAAGGCACCACACTGAATTTCAGTATGTGCTGCCAGTTTCTAGAGGAATCCTAGGAAAATAACTTCATTTTGTTTCCCAATAATTGGTTGTGTTACAATGTAAATCCAATGCTAGAATACACCTTATTTCTCCTGTATAGGGTGGTTATGAGCCTGTTGGAAAAGACTTGACATTATGCCATCCCTAGAGCTTCCTGTGTGCTTATAAAGCACATATTTGCATATGAACAGTTTGGATTGCTGATTTAATTAAGATTGAAAATAATACCTTTGGACGTCTTTTTCCAGGGTACTTCAAAGTTGCTTAGTGGATGTAATCTTCTGACAAGAAAGACCTTCCAGTTGCTGCTGGATTTAATAGACTTGTGAAGAATGCTTCAGTAATGAACTAGTGAATTCTGATTCAACCTTGTCACTTTCCAACAAAACTTCCCTGGTAAAAATTTCAGAAGTGCTTCAGTGGCTTGTTTGCTCTAAAGTTCTGCCTATTACTTCTTTCACCATCTAGTCCATAAGTAATAACTAGGAAACTTTTTGTTCTCATGAAATATGCAGGATCTTTGTACATTCTGAATGTCAAGTGTGGAGAACAACCCACTTCAGTCTACCTCAACAGTGTTTCAATCAGATATTCCCTGCATAAAGAAATACAAATAAAGGTGTTTTTCAGGTTCTTTCAGGTGAGGTCTATGGAAGGCACCAAGTTAAGTTCCATGTGCTTTGTTATATATAAATGTCATATGGACCATATGCAAATACAGTCTGCCAGAAATCCTGCAAACTACTCAGGTTCATGACGTGTCTGAAACGATCAGATGTTTTTCTTAAAAAGAAGGGCTTTGGTTTGAGCAGAAATTTGATGACTTGAATCCAGTCAGTCTTGCCCTCTTTCCCCTCTTTCCACTTCTTCTGAGGTCAGGGTTTACTTCCATCATCATGACCTCTCAGTTCTTGGATCCAAGTTTGAAAGAGCTCCTGTAGATTCTGAAGAAGTGACATAATTCTGTCTTCTGTCTGTATGCTAATTGCTGCCTGATCTTGTCTAGTTTGATGGATCTGAGTCCCAGGATCTTAATTTTGAGGTAAGAACATAAGCTGGGAGCTGCTTAGAGGAGTTGCTGAAAGTGCATTTATCATTCCTACAAGATGAGGAGTTGCATGGGGATATTTGCTGGTGTGCTTCCAGCTGCCAGTGTGCTTCCAGCTGCCAGCATGCCCCTTGGCCTGCTGGCACTCGCTAGAACTAATGACCTTATAAGGCTGAATTGTATTTTGACAATAAGCTTTTCCTAAATAAGCCTGATAAAGTTATTTTATGTGAATTATTAAAAAGTGGTGACTGTGCATAAATCTGAAATGGAATCTGTCCATTGGTACCCAGAGGTTTGATCTGTAAGGTGAAGTTGCTTTAATCCAGAGCAGCAGCCTCTGTGTGGTGAGGGGCACCGTGCAGGCGTAGGGCTGTGTGTGAAACAAATCTCTTGATTTGAGTGGCAGGGTAGTTAGAAGAGCTGGTACCAAGTTTTCCTGAGTGTGAACTTAAATTGTAATAGGAAATCTCTACTGAACTCTTGTCAGTGTTTAATTCTGTTTTAAAATTACCAAAACAAATATTTGGTTAGACAATCTATTTTTCTATTCAAACCATGTAATACTCAATCACATACAAGAGATGAAGTGTTTCCCTGTATCAGGTCAGGTGTCAAACATTGATATTGCAATAGATTTTTTTGACACCACCCCAGTAAAATGCTGTTCACTTTTTTGGTGTATGATTATTAAAGTTTCAGAGTTCACTATGACTCCAAGTGCAAGGTAGATTAAACCAAATGCTGGGATCAGATCCATTCCGTGTCATAACGCACACAGAGCTCTCTGTGCGCTGCTTGCCTGAGATCGTGCTGCTGGCTTAGAGCCTTTGGAGGAGGGAAGGGAAGGTGCTGATGTCTGAAGTAATAAACAAGTGTTGGTAAAAATCAACTGTACTCATTGTAGGTTGAGGTTAAGAACTTTATAAAATTCATGTCAGGTTCTCTTGCTGGATTAATGTAAACTGCTTTGTTTGCAGGGTTTATTGTCATCCCAAAACCAGGCCAATTCTCCAAGTGGAACTGTAGTATAGCCATCACACTACTGCTAGCAAATCTCTGAACGCAGGACAAGAAGTAATGACAGTGGAACCACGAGCTGTTCTTCAGGCAAAGAGCATCACAAATTATAATGTGGCAGAGTGTAAACATGGAATTATGTGAATCACATAGTGACTTGCAAAGGACAAATGTAAGGAGTTCTCACTACAGCTGATCCTGCTAGGCTGCTCACCTAAGGAAGAGTTTGCATTGGAGAAAAAGCAAAAAGCTTCCTTTAGTATTGCAGGAAAAAGTAGTAACATTTTTGTTTTCTTTATACTTTTCAAGTCCAGTGTAATTTAATCTCTATAAATATATAAATAAAAGATATCTATATATATATATATAGTGTAAAATAAGATATGTTTCTTAAATTCAAGTAAGTTCAATGGTTAAACTAGTACTTCACCATTGTTTATTTTGCACTGATTTTTTTAACCAGAGATGGGCTAGAAGACAGCCTGGAATGCACTCATGGAAAATGAAAGTCATTACTTTCTGGCTTCAAAATGTTTTTCAGGAAGATGGATGCTGCAATCATAGATTTTTTTAAAACAAAATTGTTTTGCACTTAAATAGTTTAATGCTTATAGAGAATTACTTTAAAATTGGTGTCCAGACACCACAAAAACTATGTTGTGGAGAAAAGATCCTTTGTATCTATTAAACATTTATTTTAATATTGTTGTTTCCAACTGCAATCGGCTCTGTATTATATGTATAAATAATGTAATTCAGTGATGGGGGATGGGAGTAATGGATCATTACACTAGAAATTCTCATTCATTTAAGAAAGTGATATTTCTAATTCAGAAAATACATATTAAACTATCTTGAATATGCATTTTTGTTTACTTTCTGTTCAAATCCAATCACTTTTGATGTAACCAATTCTTTGCTGAATTAAATGTTTGGTACAGAAATACTAACCTAAACTTTGTAGAACAAATTCCTTTCAAAAATATCTTACCTAGAACATTGCTTCATATTTAATGGACTTGAATTTCAATTAGGAAAGCGAAATACTATTGTTCTGTTCTTGTTCTTAATGGCTTATTTCCAAACACATCCTGCAGTTTAAATACATCATACAGCAGCAGCTCCACAGACAGGCAACTTCATGGGGTGAGGATTTTGTCACCGTGTATTCCCGTGCATTTGGAGTTGGGGAGTGGAAGATCCCACAGCAGTGGCTGTACACACGTTGTGACTTGTCAATCAGAAACTGGGCTAACATATTGGAGTAGCATTTCTGAGGCTCATTTCTCTTACATCAGGCATCTCATTTATAATTCAGTGGTCCTAAACTGATAAGTGTGATGGGGATAGACATATCCATGGATTTGCAGAGGTTAATGTTTGTTGTCTAAACACTTGTCATTTTTAATCAGTCAGCACACCACTTAACTTGTTTTCAGTAGTTCTTGCAAAGACTTACAGTCCATGTCCAGCCCCAGACTGACACAGAATAGAAGTATCCATCATATGCTTCCCTTTTTCTTATGCAGAAACGTTCACCACTGGGATCTGCAGAATCCTGCAGGCAGAGTAGAGCAGAGGCTGCTGGCCCAGAAGCATGAACTTGCCTGAGGGTGCAGCTGTGGGCACAAGTTAATGCCCTTCCTGCTCTCCAACAATAAAGCTGGGTAGAATTTTTTTAATTACAAGTAAACTTAAGACATTTTCTGGCATGAAAAGCAATTTGTTTTCAGGAAATGAATGAACATTTGGGGAGAAGCAACTGCAGTAGCTTGTAACTAAGTCTCATCCTTGCAATGCAGTTAGCATGTAGAGAACTGCCAGATCCATTTACAAGCTGGGAATTAGTTCCCTACTTTATTCAAGATGTAGCTGTGCTTTACAATTCTTATCTGTCTTCTTCTAAAATACGAGGAACGGGGAAAATACTGAAACTGAGCAGGATTATTTTTCAGAAGTTTTGTTTTATTAACATAGTGGGCTTAACTGTTAAAATACAGATAAACCTCATCACTGAAAACTAGTGTAGTTATCTCCCCATAGACTTCTTGTAGATAACTGCTTCATATGGACTGAGTCAAAATGAAACAGTTGAAAAAATATGCAGTAACTTTAAAAGACTTTTTTCCTTCAGCTGGAAAAATACAAAACCAGTAGGGAAAGAATTGCAATATCCAACACCAGGGGAGCAGCAGCAGCTGCTCCCATCTGGGCTGGCAGGGAATGTCCCTGCCACAAATTGTAGTCCAGCAGCACACAAGGAATGTGTGGGGGGGTTTCTTTTCTCAGCCTCTTCTTTACTATTATCATCAACAGTAAAGAAGAAAGAAATTATCATCAATAGCAATCATCTAGAAACTTGAATTGCCCATACCACACTCTATTCCATATGGTAGAAAATTATTTTATTAAGAAACAGGGTACTAATAACTTACCTGGAAGGAACATAAGACCTCTACTGTAGATACAGCTTTTAATAAAAATATTTCTCCTACTACATTAAAAAAATAATTAAAAGTGAGCAGAACACAGATAATCTCATTATGGAATTTTAGCTGGAAGAATGAGGGTAGGAGCTATACTTGCCAGTTTGTAGTTTAAAGTTTGGGTGCATTTTAACTATAAAGCAGGTGGGAAAACTCAAGTTTGCCTGTTCATCCAACAGCCAGAGAAGTGTAATTGTCTCCAGAGGTTTAACAGCAAGGAACTTGTTAGGAAATCAATATCCTTGAAGTACTGTATGTGCCAAACTGAGTAAGATCCACCTGAAAGTATAAAAAAAACAAATAAAATTCCAATATGGTTCTTCACTTCAGATTTGCAATTTTATAGCAAAAATGATGTGTTGAACATGAAATTGCCATTCTCATTACAACCAGAATCATTCTCATTCTCCCCAGAGAATCTGGGGACAGCCCCAGATACACAGAATGTCATAATACATAAGCTGTTGTTCTGGTAGCCCTTTTTTTCCAGGTCAAAACTTACAAAAATTCTGACTTCATCTTTTTCCTGGTGTATGAACAATCACCTGCCTGATATATTAACGAGGGAAGCAAACAGTGGCAATAACACTTCTGAATTCAGAAAAGTACCTTGTCCAAACACAGTTTAATCAAATTTTATATTTTTTAGTCAAAATACTTTAACTTCAGCATCTGTGATTTGAGGCTTCCAGAAACTGATTATGGGAAGCCAAAAATACAATAAATGTATCTCCATCAGGAATATAGTTTTGATAATCTGAGCTTTGACCCCTGTGTAGTGCTAGGTAAGGGAGATCTGAGTCAGAACAATCCATCAAATGTGGGTAATAGGATTTGTCTTCTCTTTTTGTAAGAATTTAAAAACAGTGGAGAGTGAGCTCCCTTGGATCCAGTTAGTTACCTATTTTTAGACCATCAATTTTAATGCTACTCATTATGCTCAACTCCAAATATATCAGCACTGAGCAACTCACCATCTTCCTCTCTGGAAAAAACACTGGAGAAGCTCATGGCACCTTTTGCTCAGTGTTCCAAAGGTAAGAACTTGGAGGTTGCTGTTGCACTGTGTTGCCTGCCTACAGACCTGCAGTCCTTAATTTCATTTTCTAAGTGTAGCATCATACTTTTCACATATCTATCTAATCTGTCTGTCTATAAAAAGTCCCTATGGTAAGTATTGAGACAAATAATGTATTGCCTTACTGTTGAATTTCTCTGTTCTATCAGTATGAGCTGCTAACATGAAAGCATACAGATGTGGGGAGATGATTCACTGAAATGTAACAGAGCAGGAAACCTCAGCCAGTCACTCTGCTTGGAGATACTGTGTTCAGGAGAACATTTTTTGCTTGGAACTGGAGGAAAGCAGCATCCATGCAGCAGGAGTTTCAATAACATGACAAGAAGCAGTTAGCTGTACCCTTGTGTTCTGCTGTTTCCCCTTGTTACAGTTTTCTCACTTTACTGGTGTAAAGCACTTCCTCCAGCAAAACTCTTGTATTTGTTCAGTCCTAGTAAGAGAAATCTGCCCTTCCTTTGGCACACCTAGTGCAGGTAGCAGCAATAGAGGTTTCCCTGCAGAGCCTTGTCCAAGTGCTTTAGTCTTCTCTATACAAGTTCTTGCCAAGGCTGGGATGTTTTTTCCATTCTTGCTGTTGAGATTCTGAAAGTTTGCTATGAAGAAATGACATAAATTGAGCAATGGTACATGATGCAGGTGGTGCAGGATATTTAACTTGGATAGTCAAATTTGAATCAATATCAAATACTCCCACAGTCTGCACCACATTTACCCTGTGACTATTTTTACATTTTCAAGAATCTCCTTATAAATATCAGATTGATCCTCAGTAAAGTATGTGATAATAATACCATCTTCTAAACATGAAGACAAACATAAGTTAGACAAGTGCTTTTAAGCAGTAGATGTCCAAAGGATTCATAAAGAACTTGAGCTTCCACACAGAAAAGCTACAATGTGGAATTTGGGCATGCTCAAAGTTGTCCAGAGTTGACCTGAACAAGGATTAGGATCTAATCCAGTCACAACAGAGCCCTACAAGTGTTGAGATGCCTCTTCTTACAAAAACAACCAAACCACAGCAAAAAGCCTACTAACTGGAAGAGTTCAAATGAGTGAGAAGAATAATAATTATTTTCACAAATGCACAGCCATGTGGAGTCTCAGAAGGAGAGTTGAGAATGTAACAAGCTTAATTTTTACTCTTACAAGATCTTTATGTTAACCTGTATTTGACTGCATTGTGTATCTCAATTGGTTAAAATAAATAGTCTGGATCTAGAGCACAGATCTCAGGTTGATGCCTGAGGGTTGGCTGAGTGACACTTGGATGTGATGTGCTCCTCCCCAGTGCCTCTCACACAAAATGCCCTTTGCCTCCTGCTCATGGCTGGGGTTTTGAGCAGCAGCACCAGAGCCCAGTGTTTGGTTATGGAAAAAAATGATGATCACTTCCCAGTTATGAGCAGAGTAACTTTTATAACTATTAAAACCTCCAAGAAGGTTATTTTCCAAACCTGTCTTGCATGCAGACTTGGTAGGGAGAAGATTTTTCACCCCCAGCCAAGTATGATTTGCACAGACTTTCATTTTCTAACTAACAAAATGTTCTCTAACACATCACCAAATTTATGTATTAGAAATTATTTAATGCATGTTTTTAGATCTCAGGAATTTAAAAATCAATGGTATCAATCTGGAGTAAAGATTCTTTCCTAGTAAGATAAGAATGTTGCCTTTTAACTCTCACCTTATTTAATAATAGGAAATATTCTGTTAAATTGTTGCTGGTGATCTGTGTGCCAGATTTCTGAAGCATTCTCAGCTATGTGCTTTTACTGCTCTTTTAAGCAACTGCCTGCAACATCAGTCCCTGTTAAGACTTTTGATTAATGTTAAGATCAATGGCTTGGAGCAAACTATGACTAAGTTTTGTTTGCTTTTGAATCAGCTAAAAAGTTGGTTTAGCTTTGAATTAGATTATAGTTACATAAAAATATTCAGCAGTTACAGAAACTGCATCAAAATTAGGTATCTCATATGACTGAAAAATTTGCACATTCTCAGTAAAACCTGAGGTGGAAGTTACTGAGTACAGGAGAAAAATAATTTCCAGAGCTAACTGAAAAAACCCCAAACTCTTAAATCTAAAAGAAATACAGCAGTTAGCTGTCATTTGTAATACAATTTGAAAACTTAAATTCTGTAGATAACATTCCATTCCTAATACTTGAACTCAAAGAATCCTTTCATGTTATTTTTAACCAACCTCCTCCTCCATCAGGTTTTAAAAGGAACAAGAACTGAGGAAGTTCAATGCAGAACACTCTCTGTGCTCTGCCAGAACAATGCTTTAATTAAATATTGACCCCCTTCAGGAACATCATATCAAAATGGTAGGAAAGCAGCCCTCAAACCTTGTGGGGTTTTCCTGCAAATTGTCAGAGCAAGACAAAATCAGGCACTGCTGTTCTTGTTAGGTCTCTAACAACAGAAGCATGACTGGGTCTCTCTCACTTCTATTCCTTCTATAGCAGTCAAATGGAAATGTTTCAGGGAAGACTGAAGTGCCTTCTGTTTCTCAGACTGTTGAAGAAACAACAGAAGTTTCAAATGTGCTTCAGTGGGCAAGTGAGAGTCTACACCTCAATATTTGATCCAGTAAATCTGACAGACTGGAACACAGGGGTTCCACCACCTTCCTTAGGTTTCCAGAAAACTGATAGCAATGTAGGAGTAGGAGTAGGAAAGGAAATCAATTTGGCCACTCCAGAAAAATTAATTTTGGTAATTCTCCCAGTGGAGACTGATGTTGATTTGTTTTTTTTTTCCTAGACTTTCCTGAGAGAATGCTTTTAAAATAAATAAACAAGATTCAATTTCTTTCTGAGAACATCTTAAGGAATACAATTAGAAAAGAAACCCCAAATAATCAGAAATTAAAAAACCCTCAGCCAATTACAACTTCACCTTGTACCTTTTTAAAAATTAGTTGCCTTACATGATGTTTCTTGAAATCTTGTCTAAAGGAACTTCTAGAAAACCTACACTGATGAATCCCAGAACTAAATTTGTGGGAAAAGTGGCTTCTCCTGTAGAAGGAGAGTTCATGCTTTCAAAGCTGAATGTACAGCAGAAAATAATTTATAATTATTCTTTGCTAGTTTGTGGAAGTTTTTGAGGGTTTTTTGAGAAAAACCTGTATTTGAGTTTTCTGTGTGGTACTAACTTCCACCTCACCTTGTTGATACAGCAAGTGAATACACAGAATTTTTCACATAGCTGGTGTATAAACAAAGTTTTAGTTGGCCAGAATTTGTTATCAGAATTTAATTATTTATTATTTCATGTCAAATACACATTTAGAATTTTCCCTGATATCATCTGTATACATGATAATTAAGTTTTTTTTAAAAAAATATTTTATTTGCTCAAAAAGTAGACTGAAGCCCTGAAAAGACAAAAGCATAATTCCTGTCTCTGCCACACTTCATCTGGAAAACTTTTTAACTCAAGGCAGACGTCAAAAACAGGATGATGATATCTGAAAATAAAGGTGGAGCTGAACCCTTTAAGTAACAGCAACTCTAACAAGAATCTACCAAGGGGATTATGAGGTATGAGAGCTCTAAATTCTAACTCGTGTGTGTCAGGGATTTGGGGGGAGGGGGAACTGCATCAGACCAAATAAAGATCTGTGTTTAGGCAGACAGAATAAACCCAAGTAATCAGCTTAAGTAAAACATTTGTTTCTAGCTAACAAGCTCAGTGCTACAAATTACTTTCTCTAAATGGGCTGACAGTTCTTCCACTTAAATACTACCTGTCTTGGACTTGCTTTTGAAATTTGCCACAAATCCTGAGGTACTTGCCCTGACGTATTTCCTACTACTCTTAATTTTTTGTGCATGTTTAAAGCTCATGTATTGGCTGTCTTAAAAAGGTGGGGGCAAAAAGAATAGAGACAGTAGTGCTTTAGGTAAGCTTTGGATTCAATGCAAAGAACTATGTTGATTGAATTATGTTCATGGTTGACAAGACATGGTACAGGAAACAAATTTAATTTCATGCCACTTAAAACATGGACACAATGCTCCCCTCACCTTTTGACTTTAGTCTTCAAAACTGAAGTGATTTGAAGTCACTTGCCAGAGTTCTTGAAAATAAGGGTGCTGAAAGGTTTTAATGGGCAGCAGTTCTCTCATTGAGGTCATATTTTATCATTGCACATAGGAAACAGAAACTTTTAAAAGGCAATTTGTGCACAAGAAAAGATTTTCCCTTTAAAGAAAGGGAGGATTCAAAACTCAAAATTCTTGACCTGTGTTAAGCAAGCTGAGAAAAACATTTAATCATGCATATTCAGGGGGGATTACAATTCCCTGAAAAGAAATAATTCACCTGATTTAGGTAATCATTCATTAGGGGAAAGTAAGTCGTACTTGAAAAAAACCCTTTTCTTTCCTAAAAATTTATGTCACTGGCCTTAAAGACACTATGGAAATAAAAGGCCAGATAAGATGAAGACAGGTTCAGATTTCCTCTGCTCTGCCTTTAAGGTTCAGGAATGGGTGACTGTCTCTGGGCAGGGACAGCAGAAACTGCTCTTGTGTCAGCACAACAGATTTAGGTTTTTGTGGTGGTTTCCTGAGCAGACATTGCACACAGCTGTACAGCTCTGTTGTGGATATTGAAACAGTGAGATTAGTAGCTATGGGAGTGCATACTTACTGCTTGAACTTTTGGAGTTTTGTTACCAGGAGTGCCTACCACTTCATGGATTTTTGAGATGTGGTCCAGCTTATTGTATCCAAGAAAAAGAGACTGGAAACTGCAAGGTAAGAAATGGTATTAGTACTAGACAAGACACAGTTGAACTGTCACTTTTGATTAAAAAACCCCTTTTTTTGTGAGAAAGATAACATGATAGAATTATTCATTTGTGGACAGTTGAATACCTATCAACAACTGGAGGATAAAGTGAGCAGCAGAGCAACACAGCTGCTGGTTTGCATTGAAGGAGTAGTTGGGTTATTGAAGAGAAATCTGTAGCTGCCCTCTCCTGCTGGCTTGGAGAAAAATATGTAAAGAGATCATCCTTTGTGTTGAAGGACAATGGATCAGGGATTGTGTTTGCTTCTAGTACAGTGGCAGATCCTAGAAGACAATGTGTTCTCCTCATTTTAAGACAGCAGAATCAAGCAGTCTCTCTTGCTGTGTATGCACATAGAAATGTATTTATAACACTCCATTCCTAACACACAGGTTCTTTGCAAGCAGCAATACTGGAAACATGGTAAATTGACCTGCATTCCTGAGCTTGAGCCTCAGTTAATATAAAACTTGCACAGAGTCCTTGAAACATTGTTATCATATTAGAGCAATCTGACTTCAGTCAGGTCCAGTAACATTTCCTGCACTTGTTGGTTTTTTCTTTGGGTTTATAATTAAAGAAACACTTCAGTAGCACCACATGACTCTTGAAAGCAAAACACTCAGCCCCTTTGTAGACACGAAAAACTTCTTTTTAACTGTTTGCAAATTCAGTCAAACAGCTGGCTGCACACTGCTCTGAGTGTCCTCATAAAGCTTAGAGGAAGGAGAAAAAAGATCTGATTCACATTGTGCAGCTGCACCAAGACATGCAGCTGGGACGAGTTTCTGTGTGAACTAAAAAATGTGCTGCTGTCAAATGTAAAACTGTAACAAATTCAAGAACAACTGTGCAAGCCACTGAAAAGTGTGATCCAGGAATCATGATTTATAGGGAACAGAAAGAGAAACAAGATTTGAAAGATCAGCATGGCTGAATAAAAGACTAAAAGTTCTTACACAATGTGCTGTAAAGCATAAAGGCTTATGCAACCATTCAACAGCAATAACTGCAGGAGGCACCGAAAAAGAAACAAACCTGTCCATAATTGCCTTCAGTTTGGCAAGACTGTATCTCTTGCAATTCATTAATTTCAATAAATATCCCTCCTTCCTCTCTGAACACACCTGTAAGGTCTCTGAAAACGTTCAGTGGTTGCAAAGAGTGAAATTTTTTACATTAAGCTAAAACTACAAGGCAATGTCTTTAAAGTTTGGGGTTTTTTCCTGAAGAAAACTTAAGTTTGCAGCATGTAACTTTTTTGCAAAGCTACAAAGCCCAGCTGATTCAAGCTGAAGTGCAAAAACGAGGCATTCTTAAAGCTTTTGGTCCCAATTTACTTTGCAAGAGCACTGCCACATTTGGGATTTTTCTTTTAACAGTTTTCTGGCTGGAGAAGTAGAAATGTTTCTACAAGTTAGCAGGCAAAGCATAATGGTTGTCATTTAATGTGATGGTGATGGCAGCAGCTGCACTTGCCATGTGGAGGAGGAAAGAAGCAAAGCAAATGTTATCAGTCCTGGTTGCATATCAGAGACAGCAGTGTGGGAGGAGAATAAAGAACTGCTGCTGTTGCTAGGGCACAAAGATACTGGAGAAATACTCATGGTGGGTATTTTTGCTTTTTTCTTGAAGACCAGTGACAAATATTTTAAGTTATAGTTTCATTATGACCAAAAATTTTAAAAGACTTCGCTTTTTCCTGAACTCTTCCTTCATCAGAACCTGATTTCAAAATATACCAGCACACAAAATCTTAAGAGCACAGGGGGCTTAGATACACTATACTGTAAATCAAATTTGTAAATCAGAGGAAGTGTATTCTCTAATCTCCTCTGGTTTTGCAGAAAGTATTATAAAGTCCAAAAAAAGTAGGAAAAAATTTACCATTAAGTGCATTAACAAGACTGGGAATAGTTTGTGATGCTCATGAGAAGAAATGAGCCATACTCTACACAGAGATAAAGCAGAGAAAATACATTTTTACTAAATACCAAGTGATTGGGGAAAAATGTTCAAAAACGTTCCTTTGTAAATCACTTTTGTTTGTACTGTGTTCTCCTGAACTGCTTTATTACTGACCTGGCACAGGGTGAAGGGAGTGCCAGACCAGATGGGATGACTGAAGTTAAGAGAAGCACACTAAGCACAGAAGCTTCTTCTACAAATCCATGGAAACGAAGATCACGTTATCCAAACCACATGCTCCTAATTTGAGTTATTTACCTTTGATTATCTTGATTAATGATAAGCAAAACCCTCCACTGAACACAGTACCTTGTGATTTCATAGAAAACACAGTCAGGACTCCACATGCCAATTCTGTAGCTACAGAGCCCTTTTGTAAGCAAACATGGAGGAACTGTGTGCCTGCTGAGAACAGATACTCCTACAAGATCCAAATTCCCTTAACTTCAGGCTGTTCTGCTGCAGAGATAAATAAAGTATTTCCACAGGTTACAAACAGTAAAATATTCAAGCAATGACTGTAAAATAGTCATTGTAAAAGAAATCACAGATGACTTTAAGAAGAAACTTTCCAAAATCCAGGGGCAGTATCACAGCAGTAAAGCTGCATTAAAACAGTGAGTAGGGTCCAGGCATGAAGGTATCTGTGCCCATAGTATGGAATTCAAATACTTTCTGTACATCAAGAGCATAGGGACTGTCACAGAAGGAAAGGCTGCTAAATAGGACATCTAGATTAAGTTATTAAAGTTCTTCTGTTTAGCAGTGATGTAATAGGTGGCTTTGGCTTCTCCTCTACACTTCTATGACTCAAAAATTTATCTTCAGAAAATAAAATTTCATAAACTGAATTTAAAAATCCTTGCTTTTCAAACATTAGCAAAATAACTTTCTGGAACTGTCAAGAGAGATGGTTACAATTAAATCTTCTGAAAGCCACTATCTTCTGCTCTCTTTTGTTTGTGTAACTTCCACTAACTGTAGGAATTGAATGTAGAAAGAAAGAGCTGAAAAACTGAACCCTATTTCATGTGTCTAGGTTAACACAGAAATGAAGATAAATATTAACAGAGGATAAAGAACAGGTTTCAGGTTGGAGGGAACACATACAGGGTGTAAAGCATCTCAGTCATTTCAGTTTTTAGCCAGTAACAAAATTGTTTGTTCATTCCCCTAGATCAGGAATACAGTAACTGTCTATACATTTCTTAAAAAACTGTACTTTTGTTCATGAATAAACATTACCTTCTCAGGGTAAAGAGAAAAATACTTATATACATCACTTTTAGTTAAATATCCTCATATAAATGTAATTACCTTCATTATTATGTTTTCTTGTTGCCCATCGCTCTGAAATATCCCATTTCTGTACTAATACAAACACAGCAGAGAAAAGAATTCAGTCAAAAGATAAAAATTATCAGTGCTTCCAGTTATTTGTAAAAAACCAAAAATACTTAAAGAAACCAGCGCTTTTTTCAAACTTACCAACATAATAGTAAAAAATTAAATTTTGCCATCGTACAGCTGCAGATCTGGGAATGTGGAATAAAGCAGGCAGGAGAGGCCCGGCTTTGTGCTCCTGCTCTCACCAGAGGATTGCAGGGGCCATCCCCCCCAGGAGGGCTCCTCAGCAGGAGCCAGAGCTCCTCTGGCTGCTGCCCCCAGGGCTGTGCTGCAGGCACACACTGATCTGGGCCAGGGCCTTTGCTCCCCCTGCAGCAGTCAGGGCAGCCCCAGACAGTTCTGTTTCTGCCTAGAGAAGACTGAAATAAAAGTGTGCTACATTTGCTGTAAAGCTGTTGCTGAACCAGGACTTTTACCTATATACACAACCTAGAGATTTGCATATCTGTTACACATTGTTCCTGGTCTGTTTTTTTTTAAGGCAATAGTTTTCTCCTTCCTGGAGTAAAATTTCAAGTTGTGTGTGTCCTATTTTGTGAAGAACAAATAGAATACAAATATCACAGCCTTCAGCTTCCAGAGGTGCATTGATATCACCTTTTTCAATTATACTGCTTTTGTATGTAATCTATGGCTAGCTTTGTGATTCATTTTCCACTTGACTTCTGACATAATTTATATTTCAGTATGCACCAGAATAGCTCAACTAACAATTGTCAATTCAATACTCTGTAAGATGCCTCAGTTTTTACTGCATGTATTACTTGCAGTATCTATTTCCCCTAGCTCTAGCAGAACTGCACTATTTCATTGCAGTTCTTCTAAATATCTCATTTCCTCTCTACTCAAAGTAATTGTCCTTCAGGTTAAAGATTTGTATCAATCACCTCAAGTTACCACCACGGTTAAAAGACTGTGATTCACATCTGAATTGCAAATTCAAGGCTAACCTGTGTTGTTTAGCTTCCTGTAAGGCAATAATTACAGTTATAAAATGTATCTATTTTTCAGAGCCATTCAGTAACTGCTCAGCTTTTTTTCTTTTATAGGCTCCAAAGGCCTTTTAATCTTGCTGTAATGCCTTTATGTAACGCTGCAATGCCATCAAGGGAGGCAGAAATGATCACATTTTTGAAAAACAAAGCAGGTACTGATCTGGTGATGACAGTAGTATGAGTAATTGGCTGGGAGGAGGAGGGGGATTATCAGGACAGTAACTCATTGAGGCCAGAGCCCCAGAGCCAGACTTGTGTTCCCAGCTGATTGCAGAGCTCCTCCAGGCAGCCACATAATCCACTGAGCAGGATTAGATCACAAAGCACTTGGAACAGAGCACCATTTACATGGGGAATTGTAGTACTAGTGCCCCCATAGAGATAAATGGTGCTTTCAACATCAGGACTTTTGTCATTTATAGTGAAAAGATATTAGAAAATGCAGCTATTCAAATCAATTTATATTATTATTCTTATTTAAGGAATTGGGCCTTCATAAAAAGAAGTCATGCTCAATTGCTTTTTCATTACATGTCACTAGAAAAATCTGGAGCAGATGCTCTTCTACTTCCAGATTTATCACTGGAGGAACCTTATTTGGCAGCAATGGTACAGTGAATCCTAAGGCAGTGGCACTTGAGGCTTCTATCATTTCTCTCTCTCAGCCACTTTTTCCATTGTTTTACATTACCAAACTGCTGTTGATTAAATAAAGGGCAAGATTCTTTTTCAGTTATTAAATGTTTCTGCTATAAATTAGCAGCAAGACAATTATGGCTTTGTGTAAAGACAAATAGGCTTGATTGAAGTAACATGGATCTCTTGTTTTTTTAAGGAAAAAACACAAACCTATCAGCTTTACACATTAGTAGCATTACAGTGAACTTTCCTCCTAATTACAGAAGTGTCTCCATACTCCTTGTCAAATTAAAAATTCATTCTCAGTCCAGTTCATTTTCCTATTGTACTCGATGATTTGACAAGCTCTACCCCATGTGCCACTACCTTATACAACATTAAAAATAAGGCACTGTATCATGATAAACACAGTCCAGACTCAAAATTCAGACCAAAAGAAGAATCAACAATTTAGAGAAGTTTAGGTAAGCCCAGATGAATGTTCAGATAATCCCTAACTGCAGCATTTCAGATTACTATTGAACACAGATTTCATTTTGAACTGATTCACCATGGCATAGAAAAAGAGTTTACTATAACTAGGTGGTGTTAAAACAATCATCTTCTGGGAAACTTTGAAAGAACTTGTATTTTTAAATAGTAAAAAAAATCAGAACATACTGAAATGATGATTCTCATTTCCATCTGAATACCATGCTAAATATAGCAACCCCAAAATGTCTTATTAAAACTAGTACAGCAATCTACTTCAGCAATCAGCAAATAACTCAATTTTAATCTCACATTCTTATCTAGGTCAGAAACAGAGTTACTCCTTTTGTTAGAGATCTGAATAGTCAGTGTCACCAATGTCATGTTCAGGAGCAAGTCTTTATTGTATTACACTGAATGACACTTGCATGTTTCAGTTATTTAAATTAAACTCCCAAGTGTTAAGACATTACAAATTCTTAATTATTCATTTTTAAAAATCCTCTTTTACTCATGAATTGTAAGTCCCTCCATTTGCTGTATCCAGTTCTTTACTGTTTATATAAGAACTGGTTTTAAATCAGCTTTTGTACGAAATGTTTTGGAAGAACTCTTCCTTATGCTTTATGATCTCTGACCTGCTTTGACAAACAGCTCCAGAATTTTTAAATATAGGAGGTAGGAGGGAACAATGTTATTTTATAAAGAAAACTTACTAAGTTTATACCTTTTTACTAAGTATAAAAACTAAAATTCCTTATTCATTGTTTCAATAGTTTTGAAATAAATGGAATACCTTGCAATCATCCTGACCTAACAAAGAATCTGTTTAAATTTTATTTTTTGTAACATGAAGCAATTATTTTGTGTTTTGCAGTCTAGGTTGTTTGACTGTAGGATAGCTGGCTATGGACTGCACCTAGCCATGCCTTAAACAATTGGGTATATTCCACTGGCAAGAATTAAAGGGTAAAGCACAACAGCACGAGATTCCCTGTGAGTTCTATACCCTGTCCCAGTGAACAACCAAGTGAAAAATAATTAATTTCACTTTGTGATCTACACAAGGAGAGTTTATGTTTTTTAAGCATATGCTACATACCTTTTATCAGCTCATAAATAGTCATGGCCATAAATTCACATACCAGTGAAAGGGAGCCAGGGCTTTCATCCCTGCAGAAACAAATAAGGAGACTTTAAGCTAGAAATAAAACTTGCACATTGATTTGTCCACAGTGTAGAAAAAAAGTAAGTAGTTTAATCAGTATTAAAATGGACATGTTAGTTTTTGATTGATGCTGTCTCATGGAAGTTTTTAAACTTACATCTGAGGTATCAGAGTTTCAGTTTATGCCATCCAAAGCACCTACTGCAGAAGTCAACTGATTTATTCAATGAAGCTTTTTGAAGGCATGTTTTCTGGGCATCTCACCTGTTCAGTATAAAGAAATTTCAGTAAATTAACTGATACAAGGTCAGAAGAAAAGAGAAGGAAGCTACTGCACTATATGTGAAAATACTTTCTACTTTAACTCCAGCAGTTTCTACTGCATGGCAATGTGTATCTGAACTCACTACTTTGCTGACAACAGCAATTTAAAGTATAATCATGATGTAATACATCTAACACTTTATTTTCCATTTGACTGCCCTGCAGAGGCAGACATCTTTAGGTCTTCAGTTTTTCTTGTAAGATAATTGCATTAGAGCCCATCTCCCCTGCAAAGCTGTATGAAGGCAGCCAGTGAAAGGCTGAGGGTGCAATCTGCAGTTGAGCTTGCAGGCTGGATTGCCCTCAGTGAAAGCACAGCAGCTGAGGCTGAGGGCTGCACAAAGCCGAGCTGCTGACACCATCAGCAGAGACAGGACTGGCAATAGCAGTGTGCTGCTTGCACAGCCTTCAACAGAGAAGTGACACAGCCTGAAGGACAAGAAAAATGTTTCAGAGCAGTCAACAAGTTTTGTGTCAAGGGTTTGAATAATGAAGGGTATGTCTGCTGTTGCACAGTGATGAAATGTACCATGCAGTAATGGAGTAAATGCTGTCATAAAACGTGATCACTCTGGAGACAGAACGTCCCCAGAAGACACTGAAGTGCTTAATGAGGCAAGGAACCCAACTTTAGCACTGACACCTCTTCCCAAAAGCAGAGCTCAGCTAGTGCCTAACTCTGAGATCCAAACTTCAACTGCTTGCACAGGGATGTCTGCAAAGCTGCCTGTGAAATGATACTGCCAAATCGTTGGCTTTGATCCCTTGTTCAAACTGATAAGTCGAGCCAAGATCCTTAAGTACCAGAGATAAGCTCTGAGTGTGCCCAACCAGAGCCCTGAGCCACGGTGTACAGTTAAAGCACTCACTGGATATGGGATGTGGGTTGAAATCACCAGCAAATCTTACATATGATGAGATGAAATCTAACTATGCTTAACATATATTAGATTTTCATCTTAACACTGACTTTCAAATATTTTGGTCTGTTGGGAAGGAGACACAAAAAGCAAGAGCTACATCAGACTTTCTTAAACAACAGCAGACACGTAGACTTCAGATTTGGAGAAATGTGTTTCAAACTCAAAAAGCTGCTTAAGAATCTACAGGTTTTCTCTAGACCCAAAAGTTACTGGATATTGTTCAAATACAGGGATAAAGAGGAAAGAAATCAATGCACCATGCATACAGAACAATTTTATGTAAACATAAAGATAGTAGGATGTGGAGTCAGCCTTCTTACTGCTTGTATTTATCTCAGATTATTCACTTGTTCTATACTAAAGTTGAATTAAACAGAAAAGAGGAAGACTGTCTTGCAGCCAAGGACTGCACTATAGCTGACTTTTTCCCCTGCCACGAGGCTGTCAGAACTTCAGTCGGTCACTGAACTTTGAAATGCAGGGCCTGATAAATTGTTTCCTTCCTGTTTCTTTATTGAGCAGATCAGTAATTAGTAAATGGCTTTATTCCTTCCTGCAGCTTGGAGCAGCTGGGCTCACCCCAAGGATAAAGTAATAATGTGCTGTGCCCCAGACACCAGTGAGGACACCAAGGAGCTCCCAGCAGGAATTTGTGTAGCACAGGAGCAGGGATGATGCTGTTCACTCTGTGCTGCTGTAGCATTCATTCCAAACATTGCTCAGTGGGATGCGTTGCCAAATTTAACGTTGAAAATTAAGTTTTGATGGAAACCTCTTACATGAAAAATGGACACTATTCAATGATTGTGTATATTATTTCATTGCCCTCCTAGGCTTTAATAAACAAAAAACCCGTGGTACAGAAACTCTGGGAGGAAGCAGGAAACAAAGAGCTTTTCACACTATTGAATGGATCAGAGCAGGACATACGTCTTTTCCCAGTCAGACGTACAGCTGAACACCAAAACAATATTTTCCACTTTGAAATGAGGAGAAATACCATGTATGGGCAGGTTCTGTTTAAAATAATGTTAAAAGACTTCACTTCATCAAAAGAATTTGTCAGTCAATTTATCAAAGGGTTAAAGGCCTAAAAGATGTTTTAGATGAAAAGATGACAGAGTCTGCAGTGCCTTTCCACTGAGTTGTATGTATCTGCCCTTGATACAGTTAAGCAGATAGTTTAAATACTAAATATAATTAAATAACAGTTTATTAATATAAATATTTAATATTTATTAATATTTAATAATTATATTTGTTAATTTATTAACCAGTTTATTAATATCAATATTTAAAATACTGTTTTAATCATAAAGTGGACAATTCTGTCAGTTGTAGGTAGAGTATAAATAGACCAACAGATCTCTAACAATATAACAGAGAATCAGAAGCCACATTACTTGAAGATATTTCTCTTCTTTTAACTGATATTCTTTGAAAGTCTGAGTTACATATTGAAATCTCCCCTAAGAGCAAAATGTCCCATTTCACTTTGTATGTACAAATGAGTCATTGCCAGTGATTTCATTAGGAACTTGATATATTTAACTGAGAATATAAAATCAGTAACCCAAGAGGCACTGGCTGGCACTTGGGTACTTGGAGGACAATGCCAAGTCTATGTCTATTTACACACAGCCCTCTGCTGCATTTCCCTGCCTGATAAATGCACCTATTTTGTGACCATGTAACATCTGAGTGATGGATGGAAATATAAATGCAAACATGAAGGAGAACTAATGCTATACATTGACTAAGGATAAATGCACTGGTTTTAACCTGCATTACAACAGCACTTAAAGAGGCTGAAAAAAGTATTACCCAAGAAGAGGACTGACACATTTCCTGCAATTATTATTTACAGATAAAAGAAAAACAGCACAAGTATATTTGTGCATTTGGCAAGGCAGAAATCAACTATTTATTCCTCATTCATCCTTTCACCCCTGACCCAGTGGCCAGGCCCATTTAACACAGTGGTGACATCAATGAGAGCACTCAAGGAAATAACCCCCAGTGCCCAACAGGAAGGCAGAGTTCCCTTTCTGTACCACATGCAAACCTTTTGAATTCATGTGTACTTAAAAAGCTTCACTTAGTCCTAATTTTGTGTTCCCTCACTGAATTTAAACATGGTTTTCTGTACAATTTCCATGATTAATTATGCATACCTTTCAAAATGTTGCTTCATGTGTTTACTTGCACAGTACTTTCCTTCCCAAAGACTCACTTTCTCCAGAACATAAGAAGATATTCCCTCTCCTTATCTTAGCAACTGGTATTTTAAAAACAAAAATACACTGTTTCAGGATGTTTGCAATTATTATGAAGACTGTGTATCAATCCTTACTTTACTTGTTAAATGCTGACTAATGGAAAACTTTCAAATAAAAGAGGTATTTTGTTAACATGTAATGAAAAACAGCAAATGAAGTTTTGCTGCCCAGATTACAGAAATATATATTCCAGAAAGTAGAAGACAATAATTCTTAAACAATAAACTACCACTTCCTTGCTCAGAGACATGATGCCTCTCCACACAGCCCTTCCTACCTTTTTTTATCCTGCAGCATATTAGAAACTCATATTTGAATTTATTCTTTGCTTCTTTCACCAAAACAAAACAAAAAACTCCCTTTATTTACAATGTACTGAAAACAAAATTATCTTGGAAAGTAAGTTTATCATGGAACCATTGTTCCAACGTGGGGGTTATTTCTTGGGGTTTTTTGTGGAGGTATTGTTTGGTTTGTTTGAGTTTTTTTACATATTGTATTTTAAGCAAAGCAGTTTCTGATTTTAAAGATTTATTCCCATATTAAATTCAGATTTGAGATTTGCTCTGGGCCAAAAGTAATGTTTGGCTTTGATAATTAAATGCTTCAAATACAAAGATGAGAAAAATCAGTCAATTCTAATTCTGCAGAACTTTAAGGGATGAAGCAGATATGGGTTCTCAAAAAAAAAGTTTTATTTATATTAATTTTCAGATCTTCTAATTTCCATCAGAATTGACTTTTTTCTTTCCTCCTTTATTCTCCTCCAGCTCTGTGATTAACTGTTCCCTACCAATCCCAGTGCCTAGTTCCCTTCACCCACCTCATCCTCCTATTGCCTTTTATTTTTAGCACCTACAGATTCTAGCCTTGATAATTTTTTTTCAGTAATTTCACCTGAGCAAAATCCAGTTCTGGTTGGCTTTATGCTGCTGTTGCATTTGACACGGGTCTTATAATTCAAGAAAGATGCAAACCCAGTCATTTTGAGGGAGGCAGGGCAGAAAACCTCTTTTACCATATTCAGCCCTTTATGGGTGTCAGAATAACTGGGAGTCTGAAGCTTTGTGACAGCAGTAAATTCAGTGTGGCTGAATTAGTTATTAATTGTTATTAGTGACAATTAGCACTTGCTGGGGCACCTTCCCTGCCTGTGTGAGGACTCCTTCTAAGGCCAGTGCTCAAGCAGTTTCTGTCCTGCTGCCTTGTTTTGGAAGATAAGAGAATTTACTAGCAGAGATGAGGGTTATTTCATGCCAGCTGCTTTTTGTGTCCAAGAAGATTTCCAGATCTGTTTAATTTACAAATATAAACACAGCCTTACAGTGGAGAATGCCTGCCAAGAAATTCTGCAGAGGGAGAAGTTACCTAGGCAGGGACACTCTAATGCTGTCTTCCAACCAACAATCAATTGGTGTTTCTTATTCTCTTTTCATCTCCCCAGCTTTCATACTTGCTTCTCTTTAAAAAAAACCAAACCCAAACAAGAAAAAAGTGTTTTCTCTCTTTGTGAGCCAAATGCTTGTATTTTCATTATAGAAATCTTCACCTTGCAACCCCTCTTTCTTCAATACAGCAGCAGCACTCAGATGAGAATTGTCATGTGCTCTTCTCATTTTTATCATCTGCTGTTCTGTTTTCTGATCATTATCTATCATGCTGCACCATAAACTAACTAATTGGGCCATCTCAATTTGAAAAATTGGAAATAGAAGAGTAATTTAAAACAAACCACACCATCTCATACACTCAATAGAGACAATTGACATGCAGAGCTATTTTAAAAGCACAAACTGAATTTGAAAATCATTGTGGGTAAAGGAGGCAATCTCTAACAGACTCCAGCATGGGGAGGAGGCCACAGGACAGTTTCATTGTTTTGGCTGTAATTTGGAAATTTGGTTAGTGCTCCAGGTGAGCTGACCCTCAGCCTTCACCAGTTGAGACTGAAGAAAGAACATCTTGTCAGGAAAAATCACCATGTTCTCTATGCCCACCTTAAGTTTTAATTTCCTATCTAAATTGCTAAGTATAAGGTGGAGATTGTAAATTCAGACTACTTAAACACCACTCTCTCAGAATTCAGTGTAAATGCAATTTTTGGTAGCAACTGATACCCTCCAACCAATCATAAACACACTGGCTGTGTTACTTATCATGTCAGAGCCAGCCCTGGGGCCAAAATATACACAAAACAGACAAAAAAAAGTTAGTTATTTGTTGATTTACTCTTTTATTCTAATAAATGGCCATCCTGTATTTTTTTCTTAAATGCAAGTAATTGATTCTCTGGCATTAAAAAAAAAATCAAAATCATATGATCTGAAAATGAGATTTTAATGTCTATGGCCTACCAGCCATAGTGTTACTGAAGCAAAGTACTTGGGCAGAGAAATGCAGGGAAAGCATTATTGTACAAATTTATTGAAAGTATCTCCAGGTATTTAAACAAGTCAGATAGTACATGTTTATACTGTTTGGTTATGTTTATATATTTTCTTCTATAAATGTATTTTGCACATACAAGAGAAGTCCAGATGAGAGTGGAGAGCTCAAAACAAGTTGAGTTGTTTAGATTTTAAATTGCAGAATTCTGATACGGTACAAGGACTGAATCCTTCACACATTTTAGAACATTCTTACAGCACTGAAGATCTTTTCCACATAAGCCTGTAAAACTTGTTATTGCAATTCCTTCCCAACAGAGAGCTCTGTAGACAAAATAAATACCCCACACATAACCAGCAACTGAGGCTTTCACCTGGCACTTATGAGATCCACCCAGTTAAAAGAATGAAGCAAAGGCCTGGATAATTTCAACTGACTGGAAAAAGGGTGGAATCAGGGATGAAAATTGCATTATTTGAAATGTCTCTGATGAATAAAGTCAATGTGTAAACTCTGAACAAAACAGGTCACTAAAATAAGAGGGACTTTTTCCCAGGGACAAAATGATAATGATCCCATGACAAGTTAGTTATTGTTTAATCAGCAGCTGAAATAAAATCAGACATTGTAAGAACAACAGCACAGAAGTTTATATAGAATAAGAAGAAATAAAATTTAGAGTTCAGGTGTACCAACAAATTTTAATTTTGCATTCACAAGCCAAGATTTCTGGAGATTCTTAAAAATCCACTTCAGCACCATCCTGATCATGATGAGAAGAACCCACCAAAACAGAAGACTTCAAACACAAACTGAACAAAAAAAGCCAGGTCAGAGCAACTTTGAGCTATGAAAATTTGTACAGCTACAAAACAAAACTTACTACCAGTTAGGATTACCTGAATTTGTTGTAGTCAAAGAGGAAGACTGAAAAAAAGGTTAAAAACTTTATGAGCATTGTAAGACTGAAAGCTTTGAGGATAAATTAAAGGAAGTTGTTCCAATTACATTTGCATAGAACACTGAAGAATAAAAGAGACCTGATCACTGGCTAGAGTTCTCTCATGCATCTGTAACCATAGATGTGAACGAACCTCTCCCCTCTGTTTCAGCACACACAGATGTTCAAGCTCAGAATCGTTAGTGGAAAGGGAAATAAAGGTTGGGAAGAACAAGTTGTAGCAACACGAACTCATCCAACACCCCCAAAAAGTGGCCATGAATTATTCAAAAGAATGAGAGTTTAATGTGCAAGAGGCTAGAGAACCCATGAAATAAGGAACAATTTAAGTATAAATTATTGGCAAGTGATGGAGCTCAAAGACAACACCCAATCGTTTTAACTAGAGAGAGTGGAAAATTCATAATAATTTAGAATTAAAGAATTCAATAAAAAATGACACAAAAGACAGCACTACAGTAGTCAAAAGAGGATATTATACAAATCTAAAGCAGACGCTTTGTTACAAAGATGCCAAGATACTGAGGAAGAAAAAGCTATCATGTTTAAGTATAACATTGATACAAGTGGCTAGAAAGAAATAACCAAAGAAATGAAGGAGGCAGAAATGAAGAAGTTGAGCTTCAAGGCCATGGTACGTAATTATTGCACTCAGAGACACGGCAGATGTGAAGGATGTAACACGGCACGAGGGGAAGGATGCCAAGCAATGGAAAGCAAGGCGTGCCGAGGCAGGAACACTTGGCAGTTCTGAGAAAGCACTCGCAGAGACCGGCAGCCGGGGTGATGCCCCGCAGGAGCCCAGACACAGAGCCATTCTTTCCCTGCTGCGGAGGAGTGGGGCGCAGAGACCAGCGCGGCCATGCGAGCCCCGGAAGCTGCCCACGGGCCGCGGGTTCGGCGTTCCCGGGGCCGGCAGAAGCACCCACAGCCCCCTCGGCGCGGGGCTCCCTAAGACCACGGCCCCCTCCGTGCCCGCCAGCCTCCATGGAGAGCCCGGGCCCACACCACCCCTCAGAAAGGGCCCGAGGCCTGTCCCCGTACCCTCTTACTGTGCCTCCCGCGCCGTCCCGCCGGTGCCGGGGCTGGCGGATCAGCAGCCGGGCCCGACCCGGCCCCGCTCCCGGTGCTCCGCTCAGGCCGCCATGTTGTGTTCCAGTCGCCCCGGCAACCGCGCACGCGCTGGCCCCGCGCCGCGGCCCGCTGCACACGGCACGGCCCGTGGGCGCGCGCATGCGCAGTGTGCACGGCGTGCCAGCGCTCCGTCCCTGACCGCCAGGTGCGCGCCCAGGTGCGGCAGAATTGTGCATGTTGCACCCTCGGGTAATATTTTTTTTTTTTTAGGAAAAGGAAAGAAAATCCCAAGGTGAATGGGCTGTGTGGACGAGAGCCATCAGGACTGTAGTCAGGAGAATGGAGCAGTAACTGGGAGAAACGTAATTTCGGCAGTGTGAGATCGCAACCCACTGGCCACCTACCCAGAAGGGACTCCAAACTCAACCGGAAAAAAGAACTGCGCCTGTGGACTAATTAGCAGGAGAAGCGAGATGTTACTACCAAATAGTTGTTTGAATACTAATTAATAGAAAACTTACATAGTTGGTAACCGAGGAAGGCTGATGCCTTTGTTTGTTAAAAGGTATATAGCAAGTGTAAAGTTTTGATGATCACTGGGCTAGACTTTTGTGTGGTACCAGTCAGCTCTCTGCTTTGCGCAAACTAGAATAAAACCCGAAATACCTCGCCTCGAGGTGTCAATTGGCGTCCTGACTCTCCGGGGATGGCGGGGCTGAGCCGCCCGCGGGTGAGGGGTTAGGGAGGGGAGCCCTTGGGACAAGAGACGTGCTCCATAAATCCAGCGGCGGGCCCTGTCTGCTGCCGAGCCTCCCGCGGCCGGAGCAGCGCCCCGGCGGGCTCAGATTCATCCCCGGTGATGGCCTGATCCCTGGCGGATCCTGCGCGCCACTGCGGGATGGGGAGAGCCGCCGTACCGCCAGCCCGGCACGGAGAAGAGCCCGGGGAGAGAGCAGGGGCTGTGTTCCCACCGAGCTGTCTCCAAAACCCCGCATTTTGGAGAGCTGTGTCATCCCCTCCCTGTCCCCGCCTCCCGGTGTTTGCCTCTTGCTAAACAGACATCCTGTGCTCTAACGTAGGCTTCAAGGGTGGGCAGAAAAGTTCTTTTCTGTACAGCATATGTAGTAAAAATCAAAACACCAGGAAACGGTGAATTTTTTGTCCATGCAAAACAAAATCCTTGTAGCGTGTTGAACAGAATAGTAGATGCTTTTTAAGTATGTTCAAATATTTTAATTAAAAGAAACTGTAATCATATCTTAGTAAACTTGAAGAAGTATTAGCCTATTGACTTAGAGGCGAAGTTGTCCCCGAGTTCGCGTTACGGTTGTTCCCTACCAGGCGCTGCATCTCTCCATAGGCAGGGAAAAGTTTTTGCTTTTGGTGTTGCTGAGGAGATAAGCGTGTATTTCCATATGCGCAGGCCCAGGTCCGGTGCTCTTGGGGACGGGGAGATTCCTCGCCCAGTCCGTCTCCATCGCCGCTCCTAGTGAAAGGTGGAACATTGGCATAGGATTGTCTTTATTCCTCCCAGCGGCAGCCACACTCGCAAGTGGCCGGTTAGCTCAGTTGGTTAGAGCGTGGTGCTAATAACGCCAAGGTCGCGGGTTCGATCCCCGTACGGGCCACAGGGATTCCCTTTTTGTTTCTGCGATTCCCACCCACCTCACGCGGTTGTGCTGAGACGCGGCGTGATCTTTGCACAAGGGCACGGCCTGGAACTGGGGGGGTGTGCGTGTCTGTCTGTCTCTCTGTGCGGGGTCGAGCGCCCAGGGCACGGACCGAGCTTCATTGCGCGCCTGCGGCTGATGGAGCCCGGCCGGCCCCGGCAGAATTCTGGGTTGGCTACAGCGGGCTCGGGTGACCCTTCGGGCTCTTTTCTGCCGTGCGGGCTGTCTTTCCCGCGTGGCACCCGCTCCGCCGCCCGAAACGGAGCACACATCCACGGAATGGGTCACTTAGGAGGAGACCGCAACTCGTCCAAACGTCACTGCTAAAGCAGACTTGCCCTAGAGCACATGGCACAGGATTGCGTCCAGATCGTTCTGGGATATCTCCAGTTGAGGGAGACTCCACAATCTCTGAGCAACCTGTTCCAGTGCTCGGAAACCCGCACAGTTCAGTTCTTCCGCATGTTCAGGTGGAACTTTCTGTGCATCAGTTGTCTCGTATCCCAGAAGTCGGCACCTCCGAGAAGAGCGTGGATCCATTCTTTTGGCACAAGGCTCTTTAGATACTTGTTCACAGACACAAGGTGACCTCTGAGCCGTCTCTGCTCGAGACTGGAAAGGCGCGACCCCCTCATCCTTTCCTCGTGAGACAGAGGCACAGACTCTCCGGTCCCTCAGCTATCTCCCACTGCCCTCCACTGTACCCGCTCCAGGAGCTCCATGTCCCTCTTGTACTGAGACTCGGTACAGACTCAGCG